TTATTAATGTATCTGTTCAAAAATTAAGTGATTGTAATACTAAAATGGTTAGAGATTATTTGGTTAGGGGAGGGTTAGGGTTGGGATAGGCAATAAAAATTGTGCTTGGTCAGCAAACCACCACAAATACTTTCCAGTACAGTTTTAATACAAATGGGAAGTTCATACATTCCGGCTGCATTTTATACTTGCTGGAGTATGTCCCACCTATCTTTAATATGTAGTGTGAACTAAAAAGAATAAATGCTTTAACAACGTTCATCCCAAAGTGTATCGCTAAATGTCTGAAGATTCTCAGTCATTCAGATCATGGTTGTTCCCAAAGGTACTTTTTCAAGAGGCAACTGGACTTTCTGTTTTTTCTTTGAAGACTTTTTGCTTCTCATCCAAGATTATGGGGTCGCTTCTTGGATGAGAAGTGAAACGTCTTCAAAGAAAAAAACAGCAAGTCCAGTTGCCTCTTGAAAAAGCATCTTTGGGACTTTAATAATATTGTTACATTTCTCTTTAAAGTAATTGACTCCATTTAGCTTTCAAACGTACAAAATAATCAACCAGTCCTTCTAAACAATGAATAATGTGGTGTTTCTATTACCAGACTACACTATTTCAGATTGCTTCTATGCAGACCTATCATGAGTCACACACAGTAGACAGAAAAAGAAGATAAGAAAAATCTCTTGACTTTTCCTTCACGTTCTGTTTCTTTATTAAGAAAGAACATTTTGTCATGTAATCTTCTCACCTGCTGCCTATAGTCAAAATCCCAAAGAACTAAAGTACTCCATTTATGGGTTTAATTATGCCCCCTGATATTATGTGGAATCATAACTTTGGTGGGGATTCAAAAATTTCCACTTCCTCGAATTACCAACTATCCCCAAATGGTTTTCTGAAATCAATTCAGGCATTAAGCCAGAAGTAATGGCTTTGCAGATCCTTTAGGGAAGCTTGCATTTATAAGTTTTTATGTACAAATTTGTGTATCCTATGCTCTGTGTACACAAATTTGACAGAGTCCTCGGGAAGTGGCTAACAGCTCATTATGTCCCCATGCTATGATTTGTGTGTGTGTGTGTGTTGTGCAAAATTTACATTTTCCTGAAAAAATGGCATCAAGGGATCCATTGCACAAAATTTCCACAGTACTTCCCAAGATTTCAGTACTATTTTTATATGACAAACTGGAAGGGAGGGGATTCTCGCTATTCACCAAGCTTCTGTTCTCCATTCCTGTAACTTGTTCATGTGCACTGTGTTCATATATTTTTCCTCATCATATTTTCACATATTTAACAAGTAGAAGAGCTTGTTTTCAGACTATGCCCTTTCAGTACAGGTAATCCTCGACTTACGACCACAATTAGCCCAAAATTTATGTTGCTAAGTGAAATATTTGTTAAGTGAGTTTTGCCCCATTTTACAACCTTTCTTGCAGTTTTTAAGTGAATCACAGTAGTTGTTAAGTTAGTAACACAGTTGTTAAGTGAATCTGGCTTTGTTTGTCAAAAGGTTGCAAAAGGTGTTCACATGACTTGGGACACTGCAACCATCACAAATATAAGTCAGCTGCCAAGTGTCTGAATTTTGATCACGTGATAATGGGGAAATTGCAACAGTCATAAGTGTGAAAAAGTGTAAAAAAATTCAGTGCCATTGTAACTTTGAACACACAGTAAATGAACTGTTGTAAATCAAGGATTAGAATAGAACAGAATAGAATTCTTTATTGGACAAGTGTGATTGGGCACACAAGGAATTTGTCTTCGTACAAATGCTCTCAGTGTATATAAAAGAAAAGATACATTCGTCAAGAGTCAAGAACCATCAGGTACAACACTTAATAATAGTCATAGTGTACAATAAGCAATCAAATCATACTAGGGAACAGTCAATAAAAATCATTAGGATACAAGCAACAAAGTTACAGTCATACAATCACAAGTTGGAGGGGATGGGCGATAAGGAGTGATGAGAAGATTAATAGTAGTAGTGCAGACTTTATAAATAGTTGGACAGTGTTGAGAGAATTATTTGTTTAGCAGAGTGATGGCTTTCAGGGGAAAAACTGTTCTTGTGTCTAGTTGTTATGGTGTGCAATGCTCTATAGCGTCATTTTGAGGAAAGGAGTTGAAACAGTTTATGTCCGGGATGTGAGGACTCTGTAAATATTTTCACAGCCCTCTTTTTGACTCGTGCAGTATAGAAGTCCTCGATTGAAGCCAGATTGGTAGTAATTGTTTTTTCTGCAGTCCTAATTACTCTGAGTAATGAGTGATTACTCTGAGTGATTACCTGTAGTTGTACAATAGCTGTATGGATTATTGGACTTGATTGCAAAGTAACCCACTTCTCAATCCTTTCCAAATCTTGATGTAGTATATTTCAGGAGTTTGCTCTGATGAAAAATCGGTTTTCTCAGGAGATAAGGGAAAAGGGAGATTGTGCCAATTTCAGCACTTACTTAAGATCAGATGTAATGAGAATAGTATAATGACTTATGTGTAAGAGCTGAAGCTGCAGAAGCAGAAACCAGTGGCTTATGGGCTAGAGATTGGCTCTAATATCTCATCCATCTTCCCAAGCCGTCAAGCACTCTGTCACTTTAGAAAGGTGGGGGAAAAAATCCTACAGTTTAAATTTGGAGAAAAGATAGCTAGACCTCCGACTTCTTTGCACTGCGGTGTACCTGCTCATCTATTGTGCTTGTGTTTTTGTCTGCAGTAAAGAAACTGGTCTAGCTAAGTTGTGTCTGGGTGAATAGCCAGGCACAATAGCCAAGCCAAGTCTAGCTGAAAGCCGAATTAAGGATTAAGTGTCTGGAGACCTGAGATTTACTGCTGAGCCTGATAGCTTGGACTCATCTGAAAGAGTTCTAAAGCAGTACAGTGGTCACAAAAAAGAAAATACACACAGGAATTATTAATAATGCAGTATAACTTGAAGCAAACTGAGATACACACACAAACACTTTTTCTTATTCTGTGTTCTTCCTAATCAACTTTGTAAGTGCAACTCAACCTATTTCAATCTCAAACCCTCACCCAGGAGTGATTCCTGAGTTGCTGGTGTGCAGTAAGTAAATGAATTAACTCACAATATATTCTGGTGCATAGGCCATCTCAATCTTTTGAAATTCAACCTGGACTTTCATTCAAGGAATGCTATCTTCTACTTCCTTTCCAACCTCATAGCTTTTCTTTATTTATGTGATGGAGACCAATTAGGGGAAAAAACAGAATTCAAGGATGAGACTATTTTAGAATCAAGATAGATGTGTATGTGAGTTCCTCATTACTCATCCCCGTTTGAGTAATATAGCCTGACTTAAGCCCTCTTCCAGGATTTTAATTAGCAAACATTAACCATGTTTGTGCTTACGTTTACTCAGTTGGAGAGTTGAGTATAATGTTATTTTGGGAAAAACTGATGAAGATTCAAGTTAATTGGGATAGGAGCAACATTTGTACTATAAAAGATCCTGCTGTTTTTCTATAGAGCTTATTCTGTCAGAAGACATGGTGAGATTTGCAAGTGGGCAAAACATTGGTTTATATATAATTTGATTACCAAAGTTTTTAGGCTGGTAGACTTTAAAATAACAGCTTAGAGTGCAAGATAGGAAGACTGAAAGCAAAGCTAGAAGAAATGATAGGCTTGTTTGTTTCTTGCGGAGTATAAAGCACTATAATTTGTGCATTTCTTGGGTGGAGTCTAAGATTTACTTTTGGGGAGTGGGATTGGAGACTAAGAAATGAATAATTCTTTCTGAGTATATGAATTCCTTTCTCTTGAGTGGCTACACATGAGGTCTAACCTACAATGTGGTTTATCTGACTGGCTTGGTATTTTGAGTGCAAAGTTTGAAAAACATAATTTGAGACTTGGATCTTTGTATGAACACAGACAGTTGTAGTTTATTCAAATTGTGGTTTAATGGTTAAAGAGAGAGAATAGGTCCCAAGCTTTTATTCTCTTGGCTCCCTTCCCTTTGCTCCTGCTAAGTCATCAGTCATATTTCCAAGAAACTGCCTTCCTTTCTAACTTAATTGACTGTCCTGTATGTTCTTGATTTGTTTTCTTCTCGTATAGCTGCTGGGCAAGAAGAGTCTGGGGCTTTCCTATTGCTGAGTTAAATTGCTATTCACTCATTTTTGAATTGGCAGAAAACAACTAGGAAACAAATTTGCTGCCCTGTTGTTGATCCTTATCTATTTGGCATTTATTACATCTACTTTTGGCTTGCAACCACAATGACTAATAGAAGTCTCCCCAGTTGGGCTGGCCCTTGATTCTGAAATGGGGCACTTCAGGAAGATCAGGGGAGTGAAAACAGAATTTTGAATTTATAAAAGTTAAGTAAGGAGTAGAAGAGGTTGATGGTAGAAGCCTAGTCAGACAGATTGGAATACAGATATTCTGGTCACTGATTTGATTAGCTTGTCATGGAAAGAATATCCAGTTTTGAAGCAGTGTCTGATGAATTCCATTCTTAAGAGGCTTTGAGCAATCAATCATTCTCCTAGCACAGGGCTGTCAAACTCGTGGCCCACGGGCCAGATAAGTTACATGCTGGCCACGCCCACACCCAGTTTAGCAAAAGGGGGAAGTCACAATGTATCACGTGATAATGCCGTGACAATGCGAGTTTGACATCCCTGCCCTAGGAGATCATGTGATCAGTAAGAAACTTGGAAAACATTAATACTTATATAGTTCTTCAAATTCCATCACCACTTCTAGATTATCCTGCCCTGGCATCTCTCTTTATGTATAGTGTTCCATGCACAGAATCCCCCAATATCACCACTGCTAAGAATTTGGGGAATTGAAATTCACACACCTGGAAGATGCCAAGTTTTAGAAAATGTTGTCTAGACTGAGTGACTCTCCATATGTATGAATGTATATTAGGGTTGCACTGAATAAAACAGTAACACATAGTTTTCATATTAAAAAAAGTAACCATTTCACACATTTCCCCTTTTGTTCTTTTTCAGAACAATGATTCCTGTTACTGAATTCCGCCAGTTCTCTGAACAGCAGCCAGCCTTCCGTGTTTTGAAGCCATGGTGGGATGTATTTACAGACTACCTTTCTGTTGCCATGTTGATGGTTGGTGTGTTTGGTTGCACATTACAGGTAAATAAACAGGACTCCAAGTTAAAAATGAATAATACCATAGAAGCAGGACTGTGATGTGTCTCAGATTCCAAATGCTGGTAAAAAAAAGATTTAAGATCATAGATACTAGAATTATTTGTTCATCTGCTCAAGTAACATAACAGACAGTAGTGCAGTAGTGTTAGCTGTTGGAGTAGTGGGCTCCAGAATCACATGTGGTCATTTCAGTAATATGATGTAGGAGAAAAGCAAGCAGAGCTGGTGGGTGGAGTTAAACATGTCATCAGTTTAGAATCTTTAATTCTTAACTAGAATCAATTTAGTGTTGACCATCAGTTGACTGGATTCTTGCGCATAGGTTTGTATAAATCTATGCTGCAACTTTACGAATGGTCCTGATTCTTTGCTTTGATAAATATCTTTTTTTATTTAGCTATCATATTAATATAAGGTCTTGTTGTCCTACTTTACACTTGGCAGCTGATAGTTCCAGGTTAACATCTGTTTTAAATTATAGATCTATATAAACTTGATTCTATCCAAATCAGGCACAAAGAACCAGTACCATTGGGTAGATTACAACATAAACAATTTATTGATACACAAGAATCTAGTCAATTAACAGTCAGCGCTAACTGGCACTAGATAAGGGCCAGTGGCATTTATAGGGAGGTGGAGTTGGATCTCTTGCGCTAATGCAAGGACTCTAAACTGGTGTCATGTTTAATTCTGCCCCCCAGCTGTGCTTGTTCTTCTACATATAACAAATCTTTGGCACAGTTATGTGTGTGTCCAAATGGAGTCTTCTCATAACCTGTGCCCACACATTTGTAGTACATGGGAAAAGATTCTCAAATGTATGGTCACAGAGTTGCTTACAGCTCCAGGCTTTGTATGTAACCCTAGCAGCTCTCTAAAAATCACTACATGATTAAATCCAGCGTGACAAGAAAAGGTACTTAATGAATACATAGGTAGTAAATATTTACTTTTATTTTGATTTAATTTCATTAAATACAATTTTGTTTGGCCTCAGTAGCTTCCTTTTGATCTGAATGTTTAGATCAAAACAAATAAGATTCATGCCCGTGGTATGTGCTATTGGGAAGGGAAGGGGAACAAAACTTGTTCTTTTAAATTTATTTTTAAAGAATGACAAAAAATAATTTGTAGGCAAGAAGGGGAAAGATTGTATTAAAGATTTACAAAACAAACAATTATGTAGGAGTTTACAAAGAAAAACACATTCCACTGTTATTCTTATAGATCACTTTTGATTGGAATGGATATAAAGTAATTGCACAAGAGTTTAGCATTTTAATTTCTCTTACATTTCAGCCAAAAATCTCTTCATCCTATATCTCATCTTTTTATCTATTAGCAAATAATATAGCCTCATTACTCAATGAGCAAAAATCCATTCAGTTAGTCACACACACACACACACACACACACACAAAATCTTAAAAAGTAAACCAACTTGTTTTCCTTTCCTAAAGGAGTTCCTTTCCTTTAATTAACCCAGTAATTTATAATTTTCTCTAAAAATACAACAACAAAAGTTCCTTCCCATATCATATCTCATTTCTATAAACAAATCCTTAAAGCCTTGTCATTCAGACTTAAGAAAAATTCCATTAAAAGCTACCAGAAATAACAACATATTGAAAATCTTGATCTTTAATCCCTTCAAATACTCTCCCTCATATTAATTTATCATTTTTCGGTATTTCCTCTCAGAAAGTCCTTCGCAAGCTTAACACTGTCCTTTAATTTTAACACCATAGCCTATCCACTGTCTCTAAAAATACAAAAAAAAAATCTTACACACATGTACAATATATATATTAAAAAATCCTTGATTGAAAAAGTCAACTTTATGATCCTCCTTTCAAAAATCTTGATCTTTATTCCTTTAAGTAGCTGATTTCTTTTCATTTGATCTTCATCTTTTCTCATAAACTCCTTTATAAATATAACACATGTCTTTTGTAGGTCCACAATAGAAAGTTGTCCAAGTCACTTTTCTGAGTTGAAATCCACACATTCAAATTACTCTTCTGATGCATGATTTGGGTGTCCTTTTTAACTATTAAAGTGTCAGCTAGTTTCATTTGTACAGTAAGCCCTGTTAAATGTCTTGGCCGATATCTTTCTTGTAGCCTGTCATTTTTAAATTAATATCCAAAGCAGCCTGATTCTCGGTTGTATTCTCTTCTATCTCCTGTTTTAAATCCGTTTTTATAGTAGCAGACAATCTTAAAAGTTCTGCGTGCAATTGTTGCCAAATATCCTTCCAGATTTAAAATACTTTTCTCCATTTTATATTGTTCAGTACTTTTGAGTGCATATATATCTGAGTATGTGAGGCAAAGAATATAGTCTTTCAAAGGTAACATTCTGCAAAGACAAAGTATTCTACACTGGGGGTCTTTAACCAACCCCCCCAGACAAGGGACCAGCATCAGTCCGTGGCATGCCAGAAACCGGTCTGCACAAACAAAGCCCCATCCGTGGGATGCAGACAGCATACAAAATCATGCCGTCTTCGATCCATGGAAAAAGCTCTATTCACAGTACCGGTCCCTGGTGCCCTAAAGGTTGAGGGCCACTGATCTAGATAATAAATTTGCCCTTTTTTGCACTGACTGTTGCTGTGGATTTTGCCTTATATTGAAAGATAGTTCTCCATATATTCCAGAGTGTTTCCTCTTTCTCTCTTACTAGAATTCAGTTCGTTGGATAAAAACAAAATTGAAATTTTTTCATTTGTATTATACAAATAGCATTCAAATGCTATATATGGCATTAAGTTGTTCTTATTCTCTCTTTTCCTTCCACACATACTGTATTCTGTCTTTCTTGAATTGGCAGTCAATAGCAGCTATATATAAAAGACTGAAATTCTTGACTCTAAAGGCCTGTATTCTTGGCTAAAGGCCTAATTCTAACTAAACTTCCTACTTCTGGCTTTTCCCAGTCAGTATATATATTACCAGGATCACGAGAATCCATGTAAATTGTTTCCAAGGTGCGAACAAAATTATTTGTGAGAGTGGGAGGTAATGGAAACCACAAGCATATAGAGAAAGTAGGTGGAAATTGATAATCTGGTTTGGCATAATATTGCGGCCAGAGTAGAAATATTATTAAATAAAAACTCTGGATGTAAGGTCCTGGTGCAGTGACCTGTACCTAAATTAGAGATCCAGATGTCTTCTTCTGTCCTTGTGGAATCTGCAGCTAGACTGGAAGGAGGTGCTAAGAAAAGGGCAAGCTGAGACTTCTTGCAGTGCAGAAAGCAGCACAAAATCCCTGAAGCGTTATCTGAGCGTTCCCAAAGGAATGCAATTAGTCTGACAAGATTCTTGTAACATAGGGACGGACTATAAAGTTTCTGTTTGAGACTGTTCACAAATGGCCCTAGTTGCTTCTTCCTGACAGCACTCCGTCCTGCTCGTGAGGAGGCACTCTTTTGCCTCCTCCAATCTTTCAACACGACTATCATGGCAAGATACAAATTGCAGGTACAATATTAACAGATATCAGGGAAAATACATCACCAACAGCATTGTACCATATCACGTAGTGTAATATGATACTTCAGATCAAGACAATGTGGTTTGCTTTGTTTTGACTTTGTAATTTGGGTGAATCCACCCATTATGGCTTATCAATCTCTTGAAGCAAAAAAGCTAGAGCAGGGGTCTCCAACACTAGGCCAGAGCCCATTAGGAACCAGGCCATGCAAGCAGCACACATGTGCGTTACCATCCCTCTTTTTCCCCACCATGGAGCTAGAAAGTTGAAGGCCACTGAGTTACAGTGTGCTAATGAGTAAAACTCAGGAAAATAGCAAGTAAGAAAGCACATTTTTGAATTTATACTGCTGCTCATTTCCTCTTCTGCAACAGAGCTACTTTGCTGGCACAAAGCTGTGATTATTCAGATCATATCAGAAATTCAGACCAATGCGTCATTTGCAATATCCTTATTACTAATCATGGGACTAACTTCAATACAATTATTTTCTGCAGAGTATTGCGGTCCACAGCAAAGAATTTGAAAACACTTGTATGTATTCAAACATTCTGTAATTGGGCATTGTAGTTCTAAACTAAAACTTCCCCCATCCTAATATTTTCCCCTTAAAATATGAGGGCCCTCTTATATTGAGAATATAATATTAGAAGTAGATGGATTTTTCATCTTTCTTTTTGAGGTGGGAAGTCAACTTAAATTCACAATCATCCTTCTTTTGATAAATGTAGTAGTGTTTTGGGTTGCAGAGGTAGAACAGGCCTAAAACAAAACTTTTGTTAAAACTGGAACTGCTAACATTTAAGCCACTACATGGACCTTTTGACTTGTATATTTCCTACATAGGTTGATGAAGAATAGCTCCTTGTCCTTTCCCTCTGCAAGATTACCTCATTTGTCCCATCTATTATGAGGGAATAGAACAAAGTATAATTACAGCTGTTCTTATTAGGTTGGTCTGGCAATTCATTCCTGTTATTGAAGTTAAGGAGGCCTGGCCCTTCAGGTACCAGGGTTAGCTTCATGCTCTCCTTCGAATAAATGCAGGGTTTAATGAATATACAAATACATGCCCCTGTTGGCGGTTGAAGAGATGCCCATAAACAATCTGGAATACCCATCTGGCCATTTTGATGGTAAAGAGAAGGCCCTGTGATTTGCTTCCTTGTTGCTAAGCAACTACAGGACATAATTTGCATGCCATTTTTTCTCCCAGGCTGCCGTAATGCCCAGATGGGAAGTGATACAGCTACAGAAGAGAAAGGAGCAAAACTTCTGTTCATTGTAAAGATTTAATCATCTGTGTCCAATTTTTCCGTTGGAAGTAAACATGAGTGCCTTTTGAAATGCTAGATTTTATGAAGGGGGCCTTTGAGCGACTCATGCCACCCAAATACAGAGGCTCATGGTTTGGAATTTTTATTCTGCATGAATATAGTGGAATATAAAATATTTGAAAAGCCCTGGTCTATGCTATTAGTCAGTCTTCCCGAAATGATTCTAGTTTTAGGAAATACAATTGAAGATATGTTCCAAAACATTATTCATGGCATAAAAACCTGATTTAGAGAAAAGTAACTTTTTGTCTATGGCTTGAAATCTTATGCCTTTCAAACCAACCAGGCTTCCAATTGCTTATTGTACCCTATGACTATTAATAAGTGTTGTTCCTTGTGATTCTTGATCCTTGACAAATGTATCTTTTCTTTTATGTACCCTGAGAGCATTTGCACTAAGACAAATTCCTTGTGTGTCCAATCACACTTGACCAGTAAAAGAATTCTAATTCTTCCAGTCTGAAACCTCAGGCTGTGATTATCTGCCAAATTTACTAAAAAGTGCATCTATATTTCTATATGTTTCAATATTTAAAAACCACCATATTTGTATGTCTCCTTTCCCACAGTCTAGTGAAATGGAGACTTGCAGACTTCAGATAGCAATATATATTGCAAGAGAGGGAAAACATCTATTACCTGCTGTGAATGGAACAGGCTAACAAGTATATACATGCAATAAAATCTATAATACTGTGATTTTCTTTGTTCGTATAGTTATTTAGTTCAATAATCAACATCAAGTGAAAAGCCTTTGAAACAGATGGTCAGGTTGAAATGCTGGTGGCCAGAAGAATATAATAGCACAATAGTTAGTTATCATTTTTACACACAACTGACGTCTGCAGAACTTCCGGTGATTAGGGATGTGGCATGATTCATATTCCAAATCTAGAATTTTTATAGGTAGAGATGCTTCAAAGTCTGTAGGTGTCTGACCTTTTCTTCCTTCACTAAAAGAAAAACTTGCCTCAAAATGTATTTTCAAAATACAATTTTTGTTTGTGTGCATTTCAGGTGATGCAGGATAAGATCATATGCCTTCCCAAAAGAGTCCAGCCTTCTCCGAACATATCTCACCTGAATATGTCAGATATGGACTCCGGTGCAGCTCAGTTCCTTCCACCCAAGCCATCCACACCTCCTGCCACTGTTGAAATGAAAGGCTTAAAGACTGACTTAGACCTCCAGCAGTACAGCTTTATAAATCAAATGTGCTACGAACGTGCCTTGCATTGGTATGCAAAGTACTTTCCATACCTTGTCCTTATACACACATTGATCTTCATGCTATGTAGCAACTTTTGGTTCAAGTTCCCAGGGTCCAGCTCAAAAATTGAACATTTTATTTCCATTCTGGGGAAATGTTTTGACTCTCCTTGGACCACAAGGGCTTTGTCGGAGGTTTCTGGAGAAGACTCTGAGGAGAAAGACAACAGAAAAAACAACATCAGCCGGTCAAACACAGTCCAGCCTAGCACAGAAGGCAATTTGGTCAGGACGCAGTCCTTAAAATCCATACCTGAAAAATTCATTGTGGATAAAGGAACTCCGGGGGCTTTGGATAAAAAAGAAGGAGAACAAGCTAAAGCATTATTTGAGAAGGTGAAGAAATTCCGTATCCATGTTGAGGAAGGTGACATACTATATGCTATGTATGTTCGTCAAACAGTACTGAAAGTGATCAAGTTTCTTATTATTATTGCATATAACAGTGCGCTTGTTTCAAAAGTTCAGTTTACAGTAGATTGCAATGTTGATATTCAAGACATGACAGGATATAAGCACTTTTCTTGCAATCATACAATGGCACATCTTTTTTCTAAACTCTCATTCTGCTACTTATGTTTTGTAAGTATTTATGGACTGACGTGCCTTTACACTTTGTACTGGCTGTTTTACCGCTCTCTGAAAGAATATTCATTTGAGTACGTCCGGCAAGAGACTGGAATTGATGATATCCCAGATGTCAAGAATGACTTTGCTTTTATGCTCCACATGATAGACCAGTATGATCCTCTTTACTCAAAAAGATTTGCCGTGTTTCTTTCAGAGGTCAGTGAAAACAAACTGAAGCAGCTGAATTTAAACAATGAGTGGACTGCCGATAAACTCAGGCAAAGATTGCAAATGAATGCCCATAACCGTTTGGAACTACAAATGTTTATGCTGTCTGGACTTCCTGATACAGTCTTCGAAATTACAGAGCTTCAATCCTTGAAACTTGAAATTATTAATAATGTCATGATACCAGCTACCATTGTGCAACTCGACAATCTCCAAGAGCTCTCCCTATACCAATGTTCTGCAAAGATCCACAGTGCAGCCTTGGCATTTCTAAAAGAAAACCTGAAAGTCTTGAATGTCAAGTTTGATGACTTCAGAGAACTTCCACCTTGGATGTACGGGCTCAGAAATTTAGAAGAATTGAGCTTAATTGGTTCTTTATGCCACGACATTTCTAAAAATATAACTTTGGAGTCCTTTCGAGAGCTGAAGAACCTTAAAGTTCTGCACATTAAAAGCAACCTCTCCAAAGTCCCACAGTCAGTAGTTGATGTTTCAAGTCACCTTCAAAAAATGTGCATTCATAATGATGGCACTAAACTAGTAATGCTCAACAACCTGAAAAAAATGGTCAACTTGACAGAATTAGAGTTGGTGCACTGTGATCTGGAGCGCATTCCTCATGCTGTTTTCAGCCTTAACACTCTTCAGGAGTTGGATCTCAAGGAAAACAATCTGAAATCTATAGAGGAAATTGTTAGCTTTCAACACCTTAGAAAACTTACAATCCTAAAGTTATGGCACAACAGTATAACCTATATCCCTGAGCACATAAAGAAGCTCACCAGTCTAGAACGGCTTTCTTTTAGTCACAACAAGATAGAGGTTCTCCCATCCCACCTTTTCCTATGCAACAAAATTAGATATTTAGACTTATCTAACAATGACATACGATTCATCCCCCCTGAAATTGGGGTTCTACAAAGTTTACAGTATTTTTCCATTTCTTGCAACAAAGTAGAGAGTGTGCCAGATGAGCTGTACTTTTGCAAAAAAATCAAGACACTGAAGATTGGGAAAAACAGTTTGTCTATTCTTTCACCTAAAATTGGAAATCTAGTGTTGCTATCCTACTTGGACATTAAAGGAAATCACCTGGAGTTTCTTCCCCATGAACTTGGTGACTGCAGAGCTCTTAAAAAGAGTGGACTTGTGGTTGAAGACACATTATTTGAAACTCTGCCTTTGGATATTAGAGAACAGATGAAGGCTGAATAATATTCTCAGTACTCAATGCAAACTTTATGCCAAATGCCTTGTACATAACTAATATGCCTTCAAGTCTTTACCTTATTTTGATATATATTATATATGGATCATTTTGGAATACATGTATTACATGTAAATGTTTATATTTAAACAGAAACAGCTTTCTTTTTCTATCCCACCCACTTCCATGTTTACATTTTTTTAAAAATTTCAGCCTTATATTGTATGTCTTTTTTACTCTGCTTTGTTGAGATCAAATTGCTGACATCTGCCTTAAAAAAGTGCCCTAGGTCAAACGAAGATCATCATCTTTAAAAAATAAATAATTTAGGTAACTTATTTAAGTAGGATAATTTATGGTTGCTGTAGCAACTGGGATTCTTTTTATTCTTTTCAAAAATCACCTAAATGCTTTAAAACTGAAAAGTGTTGTTTATCTTGTTTATTTCCTGGTTGCAGGTAATTGTGGCTTCTGCAAGCCAGATTGCCCTGTCCTTGGGACTTCTTTATAGCAAAACAGTAAAGTAGCCATCATTGATAAAAGATACTTCTTCGCTGATGTGCTCATCAAACCTGTGCTGCTATTGCTGGCAATAGAATTTGTTCTTTAGAAGACTGAATTAAAATCGCACTTTAGCTAGTATTCAGTTTCATTTAAATTTCTTTTGAGTCTCTTGACTCCATTTTTACCATTCTTAGTTATAATCAGAACATGAGTCTGGAGATTATGTTCTGACACTATGAATCTTTCTTTCATCTCTCCTTTTTTATGTTAACTGTGATTCCTAAATCTACATTAGTAAGTCTTTGCAAATTGCAACCAGATATGATTTTGCATAAAGTAGTTTCCATCATGAATCTTTCTTATCGTGAATACCTTCATAATTATCTATCGGTGCATCTACATCATAATTATAATTACAAAGAGAGGGAAAGATCAAGTTTATGCTGTTTTAATAATAAGGTGTTTTTTTTCTTCATCCTAGTTTCCCACAAAGAATTATAGGAATTTAACTGAGTGGGAGGGTTAAAAATTCTATTAATTATTTCCTTTGCTTCTCTCACTCTTAAGAAAAGTACAGCATCCTAGATTCCCATGAAGTGACAAATATGTGGTTGTGAAATATTTTGGACTTGGTTTTCCATGATAATCTAGCATGCAAATCAATTATTATGATAGTAAACAAAGTCATGCAAGTCATGAAATAGGGAATTTCTACTCTTACAAAACTACTCATGCTTGCTTGGAAAGAAATAATTCAGTTCAGAAGGGTTTATTTCCAGTATGTTACAAAGAAAATGGAATGTTTGCTTAAACGTAGCCCTGCACTGTAGAGAATATTCCAGAAAGATGTCTACATGTGGACATGTAGTTTTCCCTGAATATAATCATTACAGATGCAACTTGCACTTGAACATCTATCATCAAATCATTGAAATGCTAGGTGGATTAGTATTAGAGGTGTTCACAACTAATTCCTTGAGACTGCAGTCAAGCATCATAGTAGTGTATTGTAATGGGAAAGAATAGTAATAGGCTCAGATTTATATACCGTTATCGCGTTTTCCATCATGGCCAAAAGTTGTAAAAGAAGCCTGACACATGAAAAAAAACAACCCAGCTAGAGGCCCTGGGCAGGACTGGAGGTCCAGGGTGGGGCAAAGATTTAGGCCCTGACAGTTATACAAATGGAGGCCCTGGGCAGGACATGAACGGAGGCCCCGTGGCACGTGAAGAAGCCCTGGCTGAACTGGCACAAAAGAACTCTGCCAATATAGGAGTGGGGCATGGTGCAGCTTGCATAACTGCGGGCAGGGCTGGGTGATGGAACAGCTGGTGGCAGCAGATAAGGAGGTTATAAACTGAGGTGGGCCCAAATTTTGTTCACTTGAGGGAGCTGCAGCAGTTGGAACTTTTGAGAACCGGTCACAAATTGCTTTATTCAGAGCTGTCGTAACTTCAAATGATTACTGAACAAATGGACATAAGGTGGGGATTGCTTGTGTGGCTAAAATTAAGTATGGAATGGACTCAATTCTACTCCTCTCTCTCTCTCATATTCCACGGAGTCCACGACAGGTTTCCGCTCCCACAATTTAGCAAGCAGCTTTGCAAGGAATCTGACTTGAAAAGAGTAAATTTAGTGTTTGCCGAGAGTCTAGCAGAGTGTTAAGATTTGTCTCCCCTGGTAGGTTACCAAACTAAGCATCTGGTCTATGACAAAAAAAAACCCCTAGTTATTTAGTTAAAAACAGCTTCCGCATTATACGTGTTGTAATTGCATGTACTTTTTTTCTCTAAAGGAGAAGGCCTCCTGAATCAGACCTGTCAACACCCATGTCCTTTTCCTAGACTGGGGTTCAGTATAATGGCCACCAGAGCAGGAGGGCAGAAGGCTTCTTCCATAGTTGTGCCCCTTCAATTGGTACAGAAGGCATGTTGCTGATTTATTTTCTAATTTATCTGACCCTGTTATCGGTACCGCTTGATGGTCAGTTCCATCAGTTGTCCTTTTTAAAAAAAAATACACACGAGTTGCTGATACATTCCAAATTTGTTGATCATGTATGTTTGTTTGGCATGGCTCTATTCTGCAGGCATTTATGTTGGAATCAGAATTGCTGAATTATTCAAAGCCTTCTTTGGGGTTCTTTAGAGTTACTTTGCTCAGTGCAGACATGATCTCATCATTGTAAAACAGAAACAACCTCCACCAACAGAAGCTGTTTCTTAACCTTTCAGCAACAGTCTTGCAGAGTCCCCCCCCCCCCCATTCAGAGGACCTGTCTATATTACAAACAGTTCTCAGTTTCATAGTGGTTTAATTGTCATGAACCTTGAGAAATAATGTTTGCTTGAGACTCTTAAATGCAGTTCTCTTAGAACTACGACTAATAGGCTAAGCTATGCAGTATTTCCTAGTGTTTTTGTATGAAGCTGGGAATCCCAGGCCTTGATGCTATTAAACAATAAACTTCCACTTATTATAAAAAGAAACTACATTATTGTTAAGGCAAATCCTTATACTAAGATGAGAAATGCAGACTGAAGTTCAGATCCTGCCAACTACATCTCAGTTCTGATTTGTCTCTCATCTTCATTCTTCGCTTAAAAATATAAACAAGTCAAGGGTTGAAGTAAAACATCCCAAGCTAAAAGAATCTTACAAGCAGTCCATTCTCTACATTGCTGAGATTTTCCAGGACACGAAGAGAAGAAATGTTCAGAGTCTTAAATCTATTCTATAAACCAAAGTGCTGATGTTGCTAATAAACAAACTATTTTAAGTTGTCAGTACAACTAATGAATTTCTGTAAAGATTTATTACAGAACCGAAGTCTTGTCTTACACTAAAGAGAACTGATACAGCCTAACCTTATAATCTGGTGAATGTCTACTTTTTACTGCAAGGACAAGCTACAAGGGGTGGTTTATGGCCTATACGTGGAGGATGCTATTTCGGTAATTGAAATTTTGGGTTCAATTGTGGTCGTAAGTCGAAGACTAACTGTTTTTGCAGGGTGAGGGCTAGAAGAGGCTTGTGTCTTATCATTCATTGTGCATATAGTATATACTGTATACCTTACATGAATTGCCTGTAGGATCTACTTTTATCAGAGAAATACTTCAAAAAGGCTGCAGGATCTTGGCCACTTTCTCTGGAGAAATCTCGCAATCTTCTGTTTTTAAAAAATCCTCTTGATGTATTTAAAGCCTTCGTCATTCCTAAAACTTGTATTGCAAATCTCAAGCAATGTTCTTTTTTATTCAAATAGCAAGTGCCTTTAAGCAGAGTTTTAAAAAAATCTGTAATATTTTAAAAGTATAATTTTTAACATTGGTGCGTAATGTTCATGAAATAAGCTTAGGAAAATTGACTACTGGACTTCAGTTTAGAATTAATTTTGTGCAAAGTCATATCTAAATATACTTAAGAAAACCATGCTTGCTCAAAAATTGTAACTTTTCCAAATGCTACCCATATCAGCAAATGATTTCAATGGAGAAGTCACTATCATATTACACATATCTGCATATAATCAACTATTTAAACTACAGCAAATTATATTCATTTAGTCTAAATCAGTTTTTCTTTATATTCAGCAGTATTAGAATTGTTTCAACATATGCTACGTCTTATCTTAATGCATAGGAACCCAATCTGGAATTCATTACTGGTGGTCAAGATATTGTCAGATTCTTCCTTTTCTTCCATCCTAATTAAGTATAACTGCAATTTTTATAACAAGTTCCATATTATGAGGGTAAACAATGGGATCTGACTGAAGTAGAATGGAAAGATAATGCAAAGATATTAAGTTGTAACATGATGCCACTGGTATCTTCTGAAAGGTGGAGAATAGTTTTCCTAACTTGGTACCTTCCAAACCTGTTACATTATAGTTCCCGTCAATCCCAACTGTTGTTTGTTTCTTTATTCCATCAGTCTTGACAATTTGAAGCCAATTTATGATTTCTACCATGCAGACAGACAACCATGCATGACAAGTCAAGTCAAAACTGTCCACTTTCTCTTTGGTTAAGATTGCAAGTTGGGCAGTCATTCATAAATAATATCACTTTACTGGAGATTTCAAAATTTGTATGTCATACAGTTAGGTTCTTTGTTATTTTCATGAAATAATAACTCCATAGTTAAGAGTTTCCTTAATTGAGATTTTAGGACAAAGAAGAGCTTAATGTAAGAATGGCATTTGAGTGGTTAATATGTGATCACTCTCAGAGCTGTTATTTGAAAATTGCCAATGGACCATTTTTAAGGAAATGCAACCAATTTTTTTCTTTTGAACTTCCCTTTCTGCATTTTTAATACAGAGCGAAATTCAGTTCAAACGCAGCAAAAGTGTTATGGAACGGTCGTTCCACCAGACAACCGAATATGCTACTCTATGCCTGCTGTAAAGATTTGATTTGATAACCAAATAGTGTGGAAGAATTGCCTTTTAATAGAACTAGGCAAATCTGGAAATAATAAAATTAATAGGGTGGGAAAGCTGAATAAAATTGGTTCTTTTAAATGTGAAGCTTTACAGCATTTATCACT